CTGAACAACACTATGTTTTGTCCTTATAATAGTGGAGAAAACCTTTCCCGATTCATTTTTATATCCAAATTTAAAATCGAAATATCTCCCTCTAGGCAAGCCAAGGGCCGCTAATATTTTAACCTTGTTAGTTTGGCGGTGAGAGCTTTCATTTGACCCGAATATGTCCTATCCTTTTGATTATCAACACAAACACCTCCATTGTTAGTGCTTTCCACTCAAAGAGCTTCTCATTTGAAATTGTTTAACTATCAATAAATGAATTTCTTGTTGAAGTGAAAAACAGAAAAACTAAATCACAAGAAAATGAATGGTCGATGGTCCACTGAGGTTTAATGCATGAAACGGCTAGCCGTGAGTGGCGGCCCGGAGGGACGCCGACGAACGACCAGATGTTTGTCCATAAATAGTGAGAAAGATTGCCCTTCACGGAAGACACAAATAAGTAAAGAATGTTTACCAAGAAAATACATTAGGGCGGTTATCATAACCAGAATTTGAGCAAAGCAATAGAATTTTAGATGAAGCAGTAAACTTCCCACGTTATGAGTTTGGAATTTACTAGGAAGGATCAATCAAAGAAATTAACAACGGGATTCGTTCTATGGTAAATTGATTATATTTTCAAGAGAAGAGGAATGGATCAATAGTTACTTCATATACGAGGAAGTCGTAAATATCAAATTAAAACTAAAATGCAAAGTTTCGTACAATAAAAAATAAGAATATGCACGCATTTGTGGATAAGTGTCACTGGTAAATATATTTATTTTTTCTTCATATAAGTTTATGTAAAACTAGGTAGACTTTATTGCACTTAAACTACACTCCATTCGTGGTTCAGCCAAATGCATTTAATTTGATGTGCGTCCAAGTCGTTTGTCGTACTAAATATATGAAATTCTCTTTCTTGTATGAGGAAAACGTTTGCGCTCGGAAATGTTCACATTATGAAGAAATGCGTTGAAGCAGCATTGAAGGTATTTTTTTTCCTTTCTAAAAAAGTCGTGAACGATCGGCCGTTCAAGGAGAGTAAGCACATGAAACGACTAGCCGTGAGTGGCGGTCCAGCGGGACGCCGACGAACGACTAGTCGTTTACTTCTCATAACTTATAGAACTGTGTTTCAAGTATGATTCGCAGAAACAACGTAAATACGTGGATAAGGTGTGTGCAAAATACTAACATCTTCAAAAATGTGTAGGCCTCTTCCTAATGTACAGTTCATCTGGTATGTCTACGTTTAGAGTTTCATTCTGTAAGGTAAAGTAGTTGGGAAATAGTTCTCTTCACTGAAGACAGGATCATATGAAATAAAATGCGTTTATCTATGGGCTTGTGTAAGGTCAAAAGTCAAATGTTAGAGGTCAAATATCAAATAGATAAAATCTAAACGGAGTCTAAATATAACGAAAACGGTACTTGCTCACTAACAGATTTAGCCAATCAAGGCTTTTTGGTATCGAACTTTTATCAGTCAGATTCCTTCCCGCTGAGATATCAGTGAACCAAAGGATTGATAATGGTTTATCGGCCTGTCCACGTAACGGTACACCTAAGTGGGCGAAGTTGACCTACTCAATTACTCGAAACCAATATGACCATTGTGTAGAGCGATGTCGATAACCTATGAAAATATATTTTTTATTTACATAGTTATGACATTTCTTGGAAAAAACTGCGGTACAAAACAGATATGTCTTAGAAGCAAGAAAAGTCAATATTTATGATGGTTTCGTATTTGAGGAATTCTTATATAAATAAATATACCTTTTTCAAAACCTCTCACAGTAACTAACAATGCTTTCGATACTATACTCAATAGTAACAAAATGACTACGTTTCATCATTTCCTTAGAAACTTATTTACATTTGTAAAGTTAATACATTGGTGAAGGTGATTCCGTCACGAAAATTGCTTTTAATTCATTTTTAGTCAGGAACATAAAGTTTTTCATTCTAAAAAGCAGTGCTCTAAATATAGTTTTTTGCGCTCTGTCCAACCAATAGATTGCTTATTTTTATAAACATTCCGACTGATCAAGAGGGTCGTGACGGAATCACCCTCGAACGATTGGGTTTTCTTCACAATACTTGGAAATATTAACTTTCTCTGAAGTTGTGGCTCTAAAGAGATGTTAGCAGGTGTAGAGCCTGATTGGCTCATTTCAGAGTCATTTTATGGTAATTTCCGGTTATTTTTATCACATAGGTTGTAGAAGCCATTAGGAAGGCATTGCGCGTAAGCCAAAGCCAAATCCAATAGGACCCTGCTCAATTAATCACACCAATCTGGCTAATATTTTCACAGTAGGTAGGTCTAGTAAAGTTAGAAAGAAACTAAAATTTTCATCTAAAACGAATGAATCATTATGAAGATATAGATGTTACAAATATAGGCATTTAGACACATTTGTAGTCTCTTTCAAGCAATACTTATCAGTTAACTTTGATTTTCTAAAGAACAACAAGAGTTGTAATACAGACTTTTTTACTATAGGTACTATTGTCCATGGGATATGATACCTACACTTCTAACTCAAAAATGATTTCCAAGTGAGGAACATTCCCTTTCAAAAACGTGTGAAATATTGGGTGAATTGAATATCATCCACTAAGATTTGAGAAATTACATCTTCTATCATCTTTCACAATTCTGTCCAAACAAACTGAAATTTGGGCTTTAAAGGTCTTTCGACATAGGCTCTCATCTAAATCACATAAACCGAACATTTGTGAACAAATCATCAGTTTGTATTGCTAGAATCATAGGGCAATTTCGACTTTTTTGGCTTTGTTCAAAAAATTTTGTGTACCAAAGTAGACATGACTTCTACCGATGCCACATGGTATCAGCCAAAAAATGAATTGATACAGCACTTTCAAACTCATAAAACGATAGAATATGGACGACAGCATCTATGATAAAAAATTTCTGATACAACTCTTGTTGTTCTTTAGAAAATCAAAGTTAACTGATAAGTATTGCTTGAAAGAGACTACAAATGTGTCTAAATGCCTATATTTGTAACATCTATATCTTCATAATGATTCATTCGTTTTAGATGAAAATTTTAGTTTCTTTCTAACTTTACTAGGCCTACCTACTGTGAATATATCAGCCAGTTTGGTGAACTTCATCGAGCAAAGTTTTACTAGAATTCGTTGCCGCTGATTGCAGTTCCTTTTGCATGTCAATGTCTAATGTATGATAGACACTTTCAAAAATAATTTCCGTTTACCAGAAAAATGGTCGAAAATCAGGAGTGTCGCCACTAGAGCCGTTCATCGGGTTCAAAAACGACTTGCTGGACCCAGACAAAGAACTGCCAACCGTGCCATCATTTTTTGTGCTAATACGTTATTTAAACGTGCATTTTGTAGGACAACACTTTCTCTTTCACCTCATCTATTTAGAGAAACATTAGAGTCCTTTATAGTCAAAAGTTTTTAAAAGAAAATTTCCGGGTCCGAGCGAGTCCAAGTTTGGACCCGAACTTTTTCTATTAAAAAATTTCGGCTATGAAGGACTCTAATGCTTCTTCAAATAGATGAGATGAAAGAGAAAGTGTTGTCCTATAAAATGCACGTTTGAATAACGTATTAGCACAAAAAATGATGGAACGGTTGACATTTCTTTGTTCGGGTCCAGCAAGTCGTTTTTGGGCCAGGTGAAGGGCTCTAGTCGCCACAGCGGAGGATGAGGGTGACTCTCCAATCTTGGAAACTTTTCCTTTTTTATGGCAAAATTTACGTTTTTTTCTTTTCTTTTCCTCAACAATTTGCAAAAAAGGCTTGTACTCCTCCGTAAAGTTTGGTCACCTTTAGAAAATTTTTTTTAACGACTTTCTATATTATCGACCATCTTCCCAATTTTTCTGGCTTCGCGACCTCCCTGCCGAAAACGTCTTCTTTTCGTTACTTATGCATGACACCAGATTGTTTAATCTGTGGAGCTACCTTTATATTTCTGCAGAAAATTAAAGTTGAAAAACATCATCATTTCTCAAACGTGATTCCGTCACAACTCCTTTTTCTGCCTATAAAATCACCATTGCGTATTTTTCAAATTTTCTTTTTTTGTATATATAGTTCGTCATCTGAGCTATAACTTTTCTAGAGAAACTTTTTTCATTACATTTATACTTGAGCTATGTTTTTTAATTCTTTCAGCAACACTCAAAATTCAAGTCCATTTTTGGTAGTTCCGTCACAGCCTATATTTCAATCATAAAGTGGGTACGGAAAGTTGAAATCAAATGAAACTTTCAATATATGTAGGAGAAATAGACTTACATAACCTGTAAATATTTCAGACTTATCGGACTTCATTTCATTGAGATATTCAAAAAGCAAAGTGACAAAACGTGATTCCGTTACGCTTGGACAAGCCGATAGATTATCACATTTTAATTGTTTTCGAATAAGGTCCATATCGATTCCAGTCAGTTTGAAATTCAGTCCTGATTAATCTTTTAATCAATATCAATGAGAATAACAATTAAACTTAAGATTATATAATACTCGTATCTCATGAGATGACTATCTTCAGTTCAAATTTAAAAGCTATTTTACAATGCAAATATAGATCTAATCATTATATTCGTCATTCTTATCACTACTTGTTTGTCATATTTCGTTTTGTGATTACGGAACGAAAACCAAAAGGGGCTGAACTAATTGAACTTTCAAGACACTGTCAAACGTATAAACAATAAACGCATTCTACTCTCTCAAATTATCTCTGTCACTCATTTTGGTGATCTTAGTTAATTGGCAAATTAGTGATAAGTCTTGATCAATTTGGAAGACATCGCTTAATAAAAATTTTCTAATTATTTAAAGATAACAACATAATATTTCATTTTTGTTACCATGTAATTGTCCAGAATCTTTAATAAATCTTGTTTTAAGTCAAAATATATCATCATCTTGTTCATTATTCTTTTCATTTTATATATTTATTTTTCATTTTTGATTTGTATTATCAACATCAACAATTAATGATGTTGTTGTTTTTTTGTTTGTGTTGATAATGTTGGTAAGATAAATGTATTTATTGAATCTAATCTATTTGTTTGTTTAAGCCAATTATTATTATAATCTAACATTTCTCTTGGAATAAATTCTTGTCTATTTTATATTTCTTGTGTTTGTAAAATCATTGATAATGTTGAATTAGATGATTGTTGTTGTTGATCTGCATTATTATTATTTTCAGTTAATGTTTGCATAAATTGAAGAGGATCCATAGTCATTAAATGTTGTTGTTGTTATTGTTGTTAATATTGATGGATAAATTCTTGATTGTGATTGTAATGTAAATAAAGGTGTAATATATCTATGATGACGTTGACGGGAATAACATACTAATGAAAATTGTTGAAATAAACATTTATCAAGTGGATTATTCAAATATAAAATGATTATAATCAGGATTATGTGTTGGACGTTGAAGAAGAAAATTTGTAGAATAATTTAAATATTCATCTTCAGTTTTAATTCAATATAATTGATCAACTAATGGTATAAGACGATGATGTTATGATGTACTTAAACGTTTTGAATGACACGAAAAACTTCGATAATTAACAGATATATATTCATTTGTTACTTGATAAGAATTGTAAGAATTGTTCACGAACATGATCATAAAATATATCTGATAATGGTCTTATTGATGTTTTTATTTGTTTTGTTAAATAATTTGTTATATAATCATAGATCTATTTATATATTTCAAGTGTCAAAATATTTGACATTGATTTTGACCATCAACATATAATATGTTGTGCTATTTCATATAATTGTTCATGTGTTAATTTAGGTTAAAGTTTATGTAATAAACGTAAAGCAACATCATGAATACGAAAATCTCTAGAAAAATAATTTGAAAGTATTTTTTTGTTTAATTTTCTTAGATATGATTTGGTTAGATTTAGTTTTCTTTGATTGATATGTCTCATTATAATATTATCATGTAAAAAAAAACCAAGAAAGAAATAATACACAATCGGTGACAAGTAGCTTGAAGAAATCTATAGCAAATAATCAGCAGAACAGCTCCGGAAAAAATAATCGTTTTTCAATTACCGGTATTGAAGATCTTCGTGGGTATTTAGTAGAAATATTCTTATAACTTGTAGATATATATAGGATAAGATAGGTTACACTACACTATGTGTCGAAAATAGTCTTTGTCTTTTTGAAAAAGTTTTCAGTATAATCGAAAACAATTTTGATACAAAGCCTTTGATTTAATTCTAAATCGATAATTCAAGAATACACCAACATACATAGTCTCAATCAAAATCTAATCACAAAATGCCCATTTTTACATTGAATTATCACTAGATAATAAAACTACTTGCATAGACAATCAAAACTAGTCAATGTTTATTTGAGACAAAAAAAAAAACAAACTTTAGAATCGAAAGGATGTTTTTTCGGTTGCGAAAAAAAAATTTTAACAAAATCCAAAAAGCAACTACACTAATCTTTATCAAGTTTCGTTTGAAAAAAAATGCATTGAATATTAATTCTATATTTTAAGATTAAAAAATTAAAAAAAAAACAACAACAACAGCAACAACAATTTAGTTGTGAATAAGAATATCTAATATTCCTGCTGCACGTAATCATAAATAAATATGCCGAATCAAATTCAATTATATTAGCAATTAATGATTCTAAACATTCAATTTTAATATCATCATACATTTTTTTTCTAAACCAAATATTAATTTATTCATAACACGAAAAAAACAAAAAAATCGAAACGGCTTTTTTTTTTATTCATTATTGAAAAATTTTCTTAGATTTTATCAACAATTTCAGGATAATGCTTTTGTATTGAATAAATACATGTTATATATGTATCTGATAGACCTTGACTATTACGCCATTTTAATATTCAATTTAATTCTTCTAATAAACGTTGATTTGTTTCATTTTTAAGTTTTTTAACATTTCAATAACTTCAGCTACTGCTGCTGTTGTTGCTGCTGCATATATATTTCTATAAGTATTTTTCATATTTTTTAATATAATATCATTAAATTTATCTTCAGTTAAATCATTTTATATAGTCGATAATATTGAATTAGTTGTTAGAGATGGAAGATTTACTGTTGGTGTTGGTTGTAGAAAATATAGTAAAATATGATTAGCTAATTATATTCCAATTAATGAAAGACTAATTGCATTTTGTTTTGATTTTAAATCTGACTCTGATATTAATTTTTCTAGAGAATAAATGTTGGTGGATGTATACGTTCTTTCCAACATTGAATTGTTTTTTTGTTTTTAATTAAATCTAAATCTAATGTCATAACAATAACATTACGATGTCAACAATTTGAAAATAAATATTCAATAAGATGTTCTACGCCTATTCAATCAAGTTGACTTGATATAGATTGTTTATCTCATGATAATAATATAACAATTCGTTCAATTATAAATCTATTTAAATCTCTAGATGAATTTTCAAACATTTTATTACACATATGAATTATTAGTGTTAACCAATAACGTGCATATGGTTTAAATATTCTATGTGTATGTATAATAAGATATATTAAAAATAATTTTATATTAAATGATAATAATGGATCACTAAATTTTTTATATAAATAAATCATTCATGCAGCCATTTCAGATGTTTGAGAAAGATTTTTATTCCTGAGAGTTATATCATTTGCTTCCATATGTTTTAATAAACAGACCATTGGTACTATACATGGATGTAAATTAAGTTTATCCATTTTTATATTGATAAATTTTCAATTTAGTTCATCATCGGAACCTTTGATTAATTCTGGTTCGTCATCATCTTTTTTTTTTTTTATTAGTTAAATTTGTTGATGAATTATCTGATAAAGAATTTGATAAACTTTTATTTAAATCATTGTGTTGTTGATTAACAGCAGCTGATGTAAAAGCGAAAACAGCTAATTCATCTGTTAGACTACTATCAAATAAATATTGTGAAGATAAATAACATGGTGTTGTACTAGATAGATGTTATTGTTGATGTAATGGATTATCTGACATTGATGTAGTTTTAAATTTTTTTACATTATATTTTTTTTTTATAATGTACGTTTATCTTTTGCATAATAACGTTCAAGTTCAAGAGGAAATTTATATTTATAATATTGGATGAATTAAATTTTCAAAAACATATTCATCCTGAAATATAAATAAAGCAAACGTTTTGCAAAGTATATGTTTATTTAATTAGAATTAAGATTAAATCTTATGAGGAAAGTTCTCCAAGTGATCAATCGCTTTTGAGTTAAAACTATATGCATTATGTAGATTTAAATGAGCGAATGAAAATCCTAATAAGAATTCGTTCTATTAAATTATTGCAGTGTTATGCTATTTTTTTAAAATGAATACCATGGTTGGAAGAAAAACGGATTTTTCAATTTCAACTTGAAACTTTGCATAGAGACAAGTTTTAATTGAAGTAGTTTTTTTGTGAATGTTTCAGACTTTGTTGCTGTTTCTATCCTAAGAGACATCTATGATAGTACTAGCATGTCTTTTTATACTGATCATACGAATTAGCAGATTTGATCTTTTCATTTCAGGATAGAAACAAATCAAAAGATTTTCAACTACTCTCGTTAAGGTCTACTTCGATTCAAAGTTTCAAATCGAAATTCGAAAATCAGTGATCCTGAACCACGACATTCATTTAACAAAATACCATAAAAGTACAATCAACTAAAGGCATGAACTCTTTTAGGATATTCATAGCTCATTTAAATTTATATAATACATATAGTCGCTGCTCAAAAGAAATTTATCCATCGTGAGACTTCTCTTGTCAGGAAATCCGTGTTTTTTTGTTTTCAACAAAAAGATCGAAATTAAATTTTTATCATACGGAAGTCCCCTCTTGTAGAATATATATAGTTTTGTTTTTTTTTATCAATATGGCCACCGTTAATTGCCGGGTCAGATTCAGGTATGTGGTCATGGTTAATTGTTAATTTAAATTCTATCGTTGATTTTATGCTCACGCAAACAATAGAAATATATAAGTTGAACTATAAAAACGAATTAATCAATGTTTAACTATGATCAATGATCTTCTATTGACATAAAACGTTGACTATAAATGACATATATATCATTTTTATAATTCATCCTTAAATAATCGAAAGTAAATAATAATAATCATTTAATAATTATGTTTAAATTCAATAGAATAAGACGATTGAATATTATATTTCAACGATATTTTCTATGATAATTAACTTCCTCTTTTATTTTTCGTTATCCAAATAGTTTATTTCAATTATCTTTATCATTTTCTAACTCGAAATAAAGGTGATAAAAATAAATAGATTTTAACTATTTATTTCTAATAACATTCAACTAAACATTTCTATAATTAATAACATCGGTTTTTGTTTTTTAAAATAAATTATATTTGGTAAAAGAATAAATAAATAATGATTTTATTGAATAATAAATGAAAAACATTGATCAGATAATTTATTTAAGATTTTATCATGTTTATCGATATCTATATAGAAATAAATAAATTCAAATTCTTATTGAAGAGATAAATCATTTTCATATATTCTCAATCAATCAATAGTTCGAGATCGATTAGAATTTATAACAATATGAATCTAAAATAAAGAATTTTATGAGAAAATAAACTCTTTATGAGACTTTTTTTTCTCTCCTACGATGATGCCGAAACAAATATTTCAAGACGAATTGTCCGAGTAATAGAATATGTTCTAGTTGTTACAATTTATGAATACGGTCAACCAAATAGAATATTTGACAATTTCATTCGAAATATAATTCTAAGATACATCAAAATAATCTAAAGAGAAATGTTTATATTAGAATTTTTTGTTTTTTGTGTACTCAAAAAGTGAGTACACTCTAGAATCGGTCAGTGTGTCCGGCCGTCCGGCCGTCCGTCCGTCCGGCCGTTTACACGATAACTTTCGAAAGGAGAGTCCGATCGCGATGAAATTTTCTACACAGTTCAGTCTTAACAATATCTCGGTCGAGTTCGAAGATGAGAAGGATTGGCCGAGTCGTTCCTGAGTTATTGCAAAAATACTCATTTTTCCCTACACCTTCCCTATGGAAAGATCGACCCATCCCCACTTTCGTAAAAGACTTTTCCTATCATGGTCAACTAAAACCCCAACTATTATATACCATTCGATAGAGAATTTCACGAGCTACAAAATGGTATATAAAACATAAAGAAAGAAGAAGGTTGACTCATCTATCACAAAGATAATTAAAGAGAACTAGGTTATATTTTTGTCCACGATCTAACTGATCCACAAATAGAGCTCTATCTTCCGATCACAGTGATGATACTTCGAGGTTTTCTGAGATGGAGAACTCGAATCTGTATTCCACTTCCATCGAAATACTATTGGTTGACCAGTGACCAATAGAAATCAAGTTATAGGAAAAACGACTTTCTTAGGGTAAATCAAGGTGAAGAGTTCAAATCTTCTCTGTATTTGCCTCCAAATCGTATTGGCTGAGCAATAGCCAATAGAAATTAAGTGTTTACAGAAAGGGTTTGCCAGGACAATTTTGATCTCCACACATTCGAGGGTGACTCATCTGTCTCATTCACTTTTTGAAGTACACATAACTCTCGGATTTAAATCCGAGGTTTCCACATTTTTTAAAGATAAACATGAGTAAATGTTTATCTATAATATGAATAATAAGTGAATAAATATAGTTTTGTTAATTTCCATTAAATTTAAATGAAACAAAGAATTTATTTATTTTCTCTAGTTCATCTTATAATAAAATTTCATTGATAAACATATTCGAATGGTAATTAGGGATTTATTAATCAAGGAGAATATTTTTCCTCACCTAAATATCTGATTGTAGAATTTAAATCACTATTTAATAAATTCCACTGGCAATTAAGAAAACATTTTTTTTTTCTATCTGACCTATGACTGGAATTTATCAATCTGTTCGAATAAATATATATTAGTCATTGTTTTTCAGATCTTCTTATCTCCTATCCTTTTATATGTTTTCTTTTTCTTAGAAAATGAATAGAAATATTTCAAATAATCTATTCATATCGATATATTCGTTTCGATATTACTTTCCTTTTCCTTGGGAGAATTAATATTTATTTATTGACTAGATTATCGTCTAGAACTCTCGGATAAAACAAAACTTTGTTGAAATATAGTTAGTTTATTACATAGAAATCGCTAAATAGACTGAAATATCATCTTTCAATGGAAAAAGTAACCTTATTTATATTTAATTCATCGTTATTTCCGTGTCAGTATAAGAAAAATTTGTTAAAATATATCTGTTAATATTTATGTTTTCTGAACAAATTGCAACTGTGACAGTAACTCTTGATCATATTTAAAAAGGAAATTAGAGAAAAGGTTTAACAAAAGAAAAAAAAAAAAGAAAACGAGTTTATTCAACTGTATGAATTCGAATAAGAATAGTCAATGTTCATATGGTAATACTGTTGACTGGTTTAGATTTTCAGCAAATTGTTGAACAAGTTTGAGAGAATATAATTTAATCATCCTCGATTTTATTCTATTTTTATTTTTATTTAGTAATTATTCTAAAAGTATTTAAATATGTGTAAGTATTCCAACAAAATGACCAATATTGTTGCAATGATGATTCTCATTTAATTGTTTTTAGATATTTATGTAAATAGTAGATATGATTGAAATGATAATTGAATCAATATATTTTAAATATTTTATCATTATATTATATAATTTTATTTCCTTTTGTCTAACCATCTTTGTTTAATATTAATAAAAGGAAATGTTTTAAATTTCGAAACTTATTTTCGATCAAATATAAAATGGAATCGATTGAAAATCGATGTAAAAATTATTGATTGAACAAGTTGAGTTTTGATCACTAAATTTGTCTAGCTGTGAAATGATCATCAAAAAAACATACATTTCATCACCAAATTAATAATTAGTAGAAAAACTCATAACTCTATGAAAAAACGCTGT